ATATAATAGTTTAAATAAATATAAATATTTGCTAATGTAAAAGTAAAATTTCCAATAATGACCCAAATTTCTATAAGAAAAATTGTAAATATTTATTAATGTAATATTAATAAAATGATAAATTGTTTAAATAAAATATTGTTGTTCTGTGTGTATGCAACTCAAACAACATGTATATAAAAATTGTTGTCTATTTACAGTTTTATCATTGACTAAGGAATCTTCTTCACTCAACGGTTTTATGTTAAGTAAAAAAAATTGTCGGAAAGCAAGTAATCAGCTATAATATCTGTGTTTTCGAAGATGCTCGGGCAAAGCATAGGAACTTGCTATCAAGACACGGATACGGAGTGTAGTAGTGCACGTGCTCTTAACTTTAAGCTGCGATACCTACGGAGCCTAATTTTTAAGATAAAAAAAACTATAAGAAAAAATATTTACTATAATTGAGTAGATGTCGCTGGAAAACGAGACCGGTTTACACAGGAGAAGGCGCTAAATTTAAATGGGTGAATATATTGAGATGTCCCCCAAGTGAAAATGATTATTTTTTATTTTTAGTTGTTTCACTGTTAGTCTAGAAACGGGTTTTTGGAAAGCCACCAGGTCTAGTAATGACATAACATAAGTGGTTCTGCACTAATGCAAGAATTTTAAGAAATCATACATCTTGAATATTAGAGCTTTACGGAAGTTAGGATTTCGTATGTTTTTTTTAAACATCTCTTCGTATATTTTAAATAAGTTATTGTATCTTTTGATACCTTAATATTTTTAAAAAATACAATTGTACATTAGGGTGGGCCGAAAAAATTATTTTTTGAATTCAATTTAGGGGTGGCAAAAAAAAGTTTCCTTATGCCAAAGGTAGTTTGTAAAAAAAAAATTAGCATACTAGCCCAATATTTAAGGGTCCCCCTGGGGGCCCAAAATATTATTTTTTTATATTTTGTTTGGGGTGGCAACAAAAAGTTACATTATGTTGACAATACTTGTAGAAAAAAAATTAGCGTACTAGCCCAATATTTAAGGGTGCCCCGGGGGCCCAATATTTTTTTTTATATATTAATTGGGGTAGCCACAAAAAGTTACCTAAATGTTACATAAATGTTAACAATATTTTTACAAAAAAATGTCAAATATTAGAGTTTGACGTAAAAAATTTGGCGGTTTAGCAAATTCTAGGGTTAAAAATGTTTATAAATTTGTAAATGTTTTTTTTAAATAAAAGAACTAAAAATATTTATAAGTCGAGCAGACGACTTCTATATATGGTTCGGCAAGTTTCCCTTTCACACGCAAGCGGTAAAAAAGTTTGTGAAGCTTGTAACAGAAGCTGCATTAAAAATTTGCTGTGAGGTAGCAAAAAATGGTTATAACCATATATATATAGATGCGCGGACATCTTTACCGGCCTATATGACAACAAGTCTATTATTTAAATAATAAAAAAACTGGGTGGGAGGGAGCGGATGGAACTCGAGGAGCAAATATCCAATTAAAGGCTGCGTTCGTAAGGACGTTCTTCCATACCACCTATTCTATAAATCTATTTTATTCTGCATATCACATATTAATTAAACTAAATCCTATAATTTCATATCACACCAGTTAATAACAAATTTTTGTACTCTAAATTAAATGTGTTTGGATATTTAAATATTATGTTAAAGAATTCAAAAGTTCTATAGATAGGTCTATAAACGAATCCTTAGATTTTGAAGTTTTGTGACTAGGTATTTGAAAAAGATTGTGTCTTAAATCAAGATTGTGTTTATTGGATCCTTTAATAAAGTTGTTGAATAGGTATTCAGGCAATTATTAGGTATTTACTTTCTGCACTAATTTTCCAAAATTATGCTTGTAAGGATCAATTATTTTTATATGCTTGTTTTCCAAATAGATTGAAGTAATGGGGTCAAATTATCCGACTAAATATATGAATCTAATACATGAGTTTATTTTTAAATGTTTCAGTATGATATGAGTAGTAGACTGGCATGCAATAGTCTATAATAGGGTTTATATTAATGTTGAAACAATTTTGCACTTGGTGTTAGAATTTAGAACATACTTAAATTAATATAGTGATTTCAGCTTCATATAACACAAACTAAGTTGTCTTGTAGCATGGCTTTTAAAGTTCAGGTTTGTATAAAAAATAACACCCAGATTTCTTGCTGTTTCTTCCTGAGGTATTTCTATATTATTTATATGTATGGTATTAAAATTATATTGTTTTTTATTTATCATATATACTGTACCAATATTTATTACAAGACTCTTTTTGGCATTTAACTGAAGTCTATGATTAACTGACCAAGCATTTACTTCTTTTAAGACTTTATTTATTTCGATAGTGGTTGTGTTAATTAATTTAGAGTAACGCAAAATCTTTTTTAAATTTAATAAAATCAAGCTAAGAGTTGCTAATTTTTTTCATTAAAAGGTGTCTTAATAAAATAATAAAAAAAACTTACGACTGATACAGGCATTTGGTTTGTCTTTGCAATAATACATGGGGTAACTTTTTGTTGCCATCTCAATTAAAATATATATAAAAAAATTTGGGCCCCCCAGGGCACCCTTAAATATTGGGCTAGAAGGGCTATTTTTTTCTAAACATACTGTTAACATGAGGTTACTTTTTGTGGTTACCCCAATTAAAATATGAACAAAAAATATATTTTGGGCCTCCGGGGCACCCTTAAATTTTGGGCTAGTACGCTCATTTTTTTTTAGAATTACTTTTAATATAAGGTAACTTTTGTGGTTACCCCAATTAAATTATGATAAAAATAAATATTTTGGGCCTCCGGGGCACCCTTAAATATTGGGCTAGTACGCTCATTTTTTTTTCTAGAATTACTGTTAACATAAGGTAACTTTTTGTTCCCACCCCAGTCAAAACATACAAAAAAAAATATTTTGGGCCCCCGGGGGACCCTTAAATAATGGGCTAGTACGCTACATTTTTTTCTAATAAATTACTTTTAACATAAGGTAACTTTTTATTGCTACCCAAAAATAAATATCCCAAATATTTTTTTTTTTACGTTTTTCGGCCCACCCTATTGTACATCCATAAAATATTTATAAAAAAATCTACTTACTGAGCTATTACACTTCACGGTGGATAGTTTTTAAATAGCAAATTAATGAACTTAAACTTTTGAATTATAAAACAGCAACACTCTCATCTGCATATAAATTCTAACTGACCTTCAGGAATCACATGCATCTATAATGTCGTAAACAGAGGTTTTTGCTTATTTAAAATGATTAAAGCGCCATCCGTTGCATAAAATTTAAAGCAAAAACAGATTCACGTAGGATAGAATCAATTATTGTAACACCTAGGTACATAAATGGTTTTAAAAATTATTTCTTTTAATTTTTAATAATATTTTATATTTGATTCGATTGCTTTGTTTAATTTACTTAGTGAACTGATATTTTTAGTATGCTTTTACTACTTAGATATTTGAAAACATATAATTTAACCTAGAAAGAGTAACAGTCACGGAGGATAGGTTTTAGACTTTTAAAACATTGTAAAAAATAATTAATTGCGGTTAAAAATCTGGAACCTGAGCTGTAATCTACTTAATTATGAAAGATTAAAACACAATAAAAGTGTAGGTCAAACTCATATGGACAAATCACAGCAACCCTAAATGTACTATACCATGGAAAAATAATTTACTATACAAATTAAGACCTTTCGACAGAAAAATAAATGTACTGTATTATTTTCAGAACATAAGACGAAATTAACATTAAATTAAAAAACATAACCTTAATTATTCAACTGCATTCCTTATTTAAATGTCAGTGGAATTTTTAATGTATACCTACATATTTTAATGTGTTAGCAAATTTTAAAGATGAGTTTTTTTAAAAATGTAAGAATAATTAAATGGTAAATAAACGAAAAAATCGATTTTTTATTTGTGTGTAAGCATACATCCATGGATTTAAAAAATTGCATTTTTTAATATAATATAACATACCATATACCATATCTATGAACCATTCTTACACTGAAAAAAGGTAGTCAACTCTCGTGATAAAAAATTATAAGCGGCAAAAAACAATATTTTAGCATTGAGTAAAGTGTTTACTCAATGATTTTAGCATAAAAGAGTATTTATTGCTTGAAGAAAAAAGTTCTTAGTGGAAGAAGTATAGTTCTCTTGAAAACAAATACAAAATCTCTTAAATATTTCTTCTTTTAACCAAGTGCAAAGTGTTTTTGTTCAAAAGCTATGAAAATTATTCATATTTACGCAATTCATTCAAGATACATCACAATTATCCCAATAGCATGCCAATTTTCTAACAAAATCTGGTAGCTTCTGATACATGGGAGGGGATGCAAAACGCGCAAAGTGATTTTCATTTCTTTTAAGAGATTATTTTTATAAAGATTATATATATTTAGATTATTGTATATAAAGTTTAGTCATTTTTTCGCAATAACATTATCTATTAAAGAATGTTTAATTTAATTGATCGATTGAAATTAATTAATATATTCGGATGTTAATGTTACACTGACACTTTTTGATTTTCCTTATTCCATATTGTCTCTTAAAAATTTAAAAATATTTTTCTTTGGTTATGTTAAGGGATTTTAATGTAATCGACTTACCTGTTGTTCAGTAACAAAATATAAACAAAGGTTGATGCGTTAAATAAAGCCAATAAATAACAGAACAAACAATAAATAAACAAAATAAAAACTTTATATGATAAAAGCTTATGCTAAAATGAAACCTTTTAAAAAAAATATTCTCAACATTTGGAAGATCCGATACATTTTGTCATCGATAGGACACTTTATTATTATATTTTTTTGATAAGGTCGTACACGTACTGTATGGGCGATCTTATTGGAACTTAGCATGCGTTTTGAAAGTAAGATTTTCCCCCACCACGCCTAACTAAAAGATACTATTATAAAATGTTGTAAACATTTCAGTCTAGTGTTAAAACAATCTTGCGATCTACGCGGCAAAGCAAAAAAATAATTCGTTCAAAATGCGGTGGATTGTAAATATAATATTTTTAAGTGTTGCGTTCTGTGAAAATAATTCTCCCGAAGTGCAGATAAAAGATGGAAAGTTAAGGGGGAAGTACATGACAACTAAAGAGGGAAGACAGTTTAGCGGTTTCACCGGAATACCGTTTGCCAAACCGGCCCTTGGAGAACTTAGGTTTAAGGTAAAATAGGTTTTTGTTAAAAAAAGCGACATTTATTAGTCTGTAAATTTTTATTTTTTTAAAGATAATGATAATTTTTTTAAAGATAATGTTATATGTATAATGTTATATGTAAAAACTTAATATATATGGGTCATTCCACCAAATAAATTATTTTTTTTAGTGTGACCTAAATAGCAGAAAATTCACAGCTTTTCAAAAAAATTCTCATTCGTTATTATAAGACTTAGTATAGTAATGCGAACATGTTTGCATTTTTATAAAACATTATTTACGCCAGAAAAAAATTAAAAAAATATCGTCAAAATTCGAAAATTCATTACTAGGAAATTACATCCAAAAAATTACAAGAAAAATCACACTCCAAAAAAATGTTGGTGAAATTACTATTACATGTAAGTAAAAATATTGTTTATTTATTTAGGTTTCGTAAACCTTGATTTTTACATTTTAAGTAGGTATTATCATTAGACTTATTGTAATTTATATTATCAGTGTTATAAATACATTCTGTAAGCCATATTGTTTTTATTTAAACTGACTCATTTAATAATTTAAATTACCAATTATTTTAAAGAGAAAAACCCAATATTTTATGATTATTAAGAATTTACATGACCAGCCTTTTTCTTGGAGATTTCAAACAAAATATTTTTTTAATATACAGTGTGATTGATTTGTTCGCGACTTTATTTATTGCGCTATTTTAAAAATTTAATTACATTAAAAATGCACAATACTTAAGATTTACAAAAATTTAGTCTGTCAAGTTATAACTAACAAGTTATATATAAACAAAAAACGTTGGAATAAAATTAAACTAATAGTAAGATGGTATAAATATTCTTATGCTTAGTTTTAACAAATAAAAAACGCAATACAAAATTAAAACAATGAAACAAAAAATGAAGAATTCCAAAAATAGGTAGGTACTCTACAATTAGATTTTTGTCACCTCTACAAATCCACCATTTATTTCAATCCACTTTTATATTTGTTATGGAGTAATGCTCCGTAGTTCTTGTGTAGTAGAGGTGACGAAAATCTAATTGAATAGGTGAGATTAAGAACAGTACGTCCAAATGTTAAAATTTTGACAAAATATTTAAAAAAATCAGTTTTATAGTTTTAAATGTATTTTTGCTGGAATATTTTAACTATTTTAAAAAATATAATGTTTATATTCTGTAAAATAATTTATTTCTTATCTTCTCACAAAAATGTATTTTAAAACATGACTTGTCAAAATTAAATTTTTGGACTTGTACTGTTCTTATTTTCACCGATTTAATTGTAGAGATTTTTTTTAAATTTTTGTAAATAGTTAAAAATATTATTCATTTTTAATTTGGCTACAAAATCGTTACTTAAAATTTTCAATAAAATTTGAGGGGTGGTGAATTCAGTGCCATGCTAATATGAATTCTTAAAATTCAGTTTATTAAAATCTACACTTGAAAAAAATCCGGTTAAAATCGCACAATAAACAAAGATTTTACTGGGGTGAGTCGCAAACAAATGGGTCACACTGTTCATTTATTATAATTTATACCTATGAATATATTAATTTTTTTACAATATTCTGTAAAAACGCACAAAATTACAAAATATTATAGAAATGATCTAGTTAAGATTGACTAATATTGCAAAATTAAATAAACAAACATTTCGTAAAAATTAACATACTACGGTTAAGGTCAAGTAGTGAAAGTTTTAAAATTTAAATCCATAATTAGGTATACAAGCTATTGGTCGAAAATTAGAAGGAAATAAATAAACACTTTTTTAATTACTTTAAAAACTTTTTAATAATGGGTAATTAAATCCACGCCTCACCTTTTATTTATTTAGTCTCCAAAATGTTCAAACTTTGCTTTGACGCCATTTTTTAAAAACGTGCAAATCCCTAATTAAAACTGTAATACAGTTACTGTATACAGTATTCATGAAAACAAAATAGGATTTACAGGGTGTAAAATTATCTAGTCTATAGATATATCTAGTCTATAGACATATAGATATATCTAGGGGACAGGATGAATTAAAAAAAACATAGGAAATGTAAATAATTTAAATATTTTTATTTTAATATTTGTTGCCTAGTTCTTTGATGAAAATACAAGTTATCCTTGACTATTATCAAAAAGGTAATTTGTGCAATTATTTCATAGATTACAAAATAAATGAAATATAGACATAAATTATTCATTTGCAAAGGCATGCCTTTCAATTAAGTCTAGTAAATTTATGTATATAATATTATATCTTCAAGATTTTCAAGTTTAAAAAATTTATTAAAATAATTATTATAAATCGTATAGGTACAGTCAGAGAAAATAGTAAAACGGTAAAACTATATACAGGGTAACCCGAAAGTCATGAAAAAACTACTAAATATTACCTTCTTTTTAACGAAAAGGTACCTTAACCAAGAAGTTAAATTTTAACCAATATACATACATGTTAATGTAACCAGTTGTTCTAAATTAATGTAATAGATCAAACTAAAATTAACCAAACTGAATATGAATTCTCTGAATTGACCAAAAACTGTCAAAAAATGAAATGTAATGTAAAATCTTCAAAATTGTTTGTAAAATTTAAAAGTGCATAATATCGTCCTTTTCACTTTAAACAGTTTTTGGTCCTTGCAAATTGTTTGTTTATTTTTTTAATTTATTCAGCCCCCAGTACCAATAGAACCATGGCAGGGCACTCTAGAGGCAACATCTATTCACAGCGTTTGTCCGCAAAGAGACATCTACAGGCGATCCACAGAAATAGAAGGCGAGGAAGACTGCCTTTACCTGAATGTCTACACCCCAAAAGTATGTCGTTATTAAAAATGTACTCTACTAAAAATGGTTAACCATGGAATACCAAGGTATCCCAAAATTTAACAGCCAATTCTTATGTAAAATTGTTCCCTGAATCCGAAAATACCGTCAAAAATTATGAAAGTGGAGCAGTTCTTGAGATATAGTTAATTCCATATTAAATGGAAAATTGACTATATCTCAAAAACTTTTCTACTTTTTTAACTTTTAACGACATTTTCGGATTCAGGGGGCAATTTTACATAATAATTGACTGTTCAATTTTGGGATACCATGGTATTCCATGGTTAACCATGCTACAAGTGAAAAAGCAGCCACAAATAACTATTAAATTAGTAATTTTTGACTAATTTAGAGTGTAGTCTAAATCCTGATAAAAAATTGATTTCAGCTGCCAAACGCAGGCGAAGCCTCCCTTCCTGTGATGATCTTCTTTCACGGGGGCGGCTGGCTATGCGGGGGCGGCAATTCCCTCTGGTACGGTCCTGAGGTATTGCTAGACAGGGACGTCGTTTTGGTCGTCACCAATTACAGGCTAGGTAATTTAGTTACACGCAACTTTGCCAACGTTTATCTTACTTTGCTCTCCTATAAGTTTGGAAATGGGGTGCTAGTTTTGAGAAATGCGATGGGGTGCGTTTACACGATTATACATTGTTGGTACGTTTGATTGATATCGAAAGTCTAAAGCAATGAAAATTTATTGGTCAATTTGTCCATTTTACTCCCTGCATTTAAAATTGACATTTTAAGGGTGCCTGTTTTTTAAGGAAACAAATTAATTTTAGGCTGAATTTTTTTGTTATAGGTACAATTTGTTTTTTAAAGAGATATCGCAAAATGGTAATACATAATATCAAGTTTAATAAGCGCCATTTTATTCACGAATTTAATTTAGGCACGAGCGAGCTTGCGAGCGAGTGTTTAATTAAATGAGTGTATAGAAAAGTTCATAAACGAGTTGCATACTATACTATGACTTCATTATAATAGCGCTTTTTGTGCTGTAATGAGATAATTTACCCCACACAAAATGTTGATTTTTATTGGTTATAATATATTTATGATTTTTCTAGTACTTACGAGACTTTTCTGGCAACAAATTTTGTTTAACACCAAAGAAAATCTTTTTTTTCTTCTTTAATATTAACATCCGCTTATTGTAAATAAGTAAATTAAGGACGGCATGGCGAATCGATTTTGACGTTAACTGTCAAACTGTGATACCAACTATCTAAAGTAAAATTCGACCAAATTAAATTTAAGGTATAACATTTTTTTTTATAGAATTTTAGCAAAATAGATAAAATAGCATAAAGAACTCATGTCATAAGACCTTTTGTCGTAATAACGATTTAAATTAAATATTTCTATAGAGCGACATCTATACAAAAATAGAGTAACCGTAAGAATGGGAATCTACATTACCGGCGGCAAATGTCAAATTTTTCCATAAAAATCGAAATTTATCCCTCCAAAATGGACAAACAATATAGAAGCAGTTTTTTACAGTGAAAGTAAAAATAAAAATTATGGGCACTCCACCCGAAATTTTTAAAACTTTCTCCGTTAATACTAGTTAACTGTCGGCCACAGTTTTATAAAATAATAAATAATTGTCACATTTAGTAATACTTAACGATGGTTTGGCATTTGACTAACTTAAAGCTTACTTCATCCCGTGACTAAAAACCTGTTGCTAACTTTACCCCGTGACTAACGCGCCATATTGCCAATGTTTTTGGGTGTTTTTAAGGTACAATCAATATTTAATCTACTTCTATATTGACAAGCTGTGACTTTATGGCGTTTTAGTAACGGTCTAAAGTTAGTAATAGTGGCTGTTATGCACTTTAGTCACGGGCTAAAGTTAGCCTTTTTACAAATTGCCAAAAAGTGAGGTTAAATTCGTCAAATGTCAATATTCAACAGTTAAAATTGGCTTTAAATTCTTCTTTGTGTTTTTCGTAAATAAAGTATGCATATCGTTTTATAATCTTCTCTAGACACTCGTTTTTATAAAACACTCGCTCGCTCGTGCCTTATAAAACTAAAATGGCGTTTTAAAACTTGTTACATAATATACTATTACTAATAATATTAATTGCTAATGAACAAGCGACAATTAATGTTCATTATAAACTCATTGCAAACCACTGAAAGTTTATGTCTTTAAAGTAAAATAAAATTTTACGAGTAGGTGTTTTATGTAAATAATTGTAAATTTATTGATACTATTAAAATACTACTACATTTCTATGATTTCAAGAATTCTAGAATATGACCTCCATGTGCTTTTTTAAATAATGCAATTATTAATATTGAATTTCATTAAATTTAATTGAGTTCACGGGTAAATGAAAAATTATTTTGATTAATTTTAATTAAATAATTAAAAAGTAATTTAAAATTCAAGAACTTTATTTAAAAGTGTTTATGTATTGTTTGTTTTTTTTCGTAAATAATGATAAACTTTATAAATTCCCTGCCTAACATAATGAACTCATTATTTACGTTGTTGTGATTGGGCGGTTGCAATATTCACTGTGATTTGACTATAATAACATTTTAAATTGGTAAAAATTGAGGTTAACCATTTGACAGGTGTCAGATTTTATTTATTTATTTTTGAAAATCAAATCAAAATGACGTTTTGTTAAAAAAATATATTTTATATATTTTGCGTTCATAATGACTTCATTATGACACCGCTTTCGGTGCTGTAATGAGATACTTTATCCCACCCAAAATTTTGATTTTATAGGTTGGCTATAGGTACTTTAAACAGCATAACATTTTGCATTTTGGTTATAATATTTTTATGATTTTTCTAGTACTTACGAGACTTTTCTGGCAATAAATTTTGTTTAACACCAAAGAAAATCTTTTTTTCTTCTTTAACCTTAACAGCTGCTTATTGTAAATAAGTAAATTAAGGACGGCATGGCGAATCGATTTTGACATTAACTGTCAAACCAATGACTGTGATACCAACTATCTAAAGTAAAATTTGACAAAATTAAATTTATTTTATTGTTTTTATAGAACTTTTGCAAAATAGATAAAATAGCATAAAAAACTCATGTTAGTCGCACTCGTCCATTACAAAATGACGTATTATGACATTAGTTCTTTAATATACTATTAACAGTTGTAAAACGTTTTTTGCTACCTCATTTCCAACCACTATACTTTTTTATTAACATAAATTCACAATAATTATTACAAACCAAACAGTGTTGAAAGGTTTTTCGTGGGTAATATAAATATGTATTTTCTTTAACAAAGCACATAAAATACGTCAAATCGATAATTATAATTGTCGCAATTATTTTGCAGAACAGCCCGTCAAGAAAATCATTTTTATACCAGCATTAAATGGTTTACGACTTGAAATTTAAAATTTAAATTAGGGCGTAGCAGAGATCAATAGATTAAAAATTATCTGTTTGCTTTGAAGAAATCCTTCGAATTGTTTATTGGTCGGTAAAGAAAAAAGGTCTTTGCAAGGTGCTAATTTCCAACATGCAACCATTATTTGCCGTTGCGTAGTCTAAGCAGATCAATTTAAATTGCGCACTATGGTGGGAGAATTCCTTGCAAAATTTATTATTATTAAGTTAAATTAACAATGAATGTCCCGTTTTTTAACAGAATCTAGAAAAATGTCAATTTTCTCCACCGTTCAATAATAAGCTAAGAAACGTATAAATTCTTCAATAAGATTAGAAAAAATATAAAATTAATAACATTTGTAGGTGCTCTTGGATTTTTGACTACAGGGGATGATGTAGTTGCGGGTAACAACGGTCTTAAAGACCAAAATCTCGCAATAAAATGGACTAAAGAAAACGTTGCCAAATTTGGAGGAAATCCTGACAGTATTACTATATTTGGAGAGTCGGCAGGTGGCGCTAGTGTACAGTATCACATGGTTTCGCCCTTAAGTAGAGGTAAAAAATAATATTCTTATTAATACTATAAATTAACTCCAATTTAAACTAGTTATCCATTTATAATGTACATTAGATTAAAATCAGTGATTTATTGGATCGATAGTAATAAATGTATTTTATTAATTAATATGGTTAATGCAAGTTTTACATTATCAGCGAATCGTAAATAATCTAATCATTATGCAAAAATATTTCATGGTAAATGTTACGTCAACTTTTATATTTGTTAAGCCTTATGTTTTTGCAAATCTATAGATGTAAACATTATTAAAAAAAACATGGTTTAGTTAAATGTGAGAAATATGAAAATTTGATAATTTTTACGAATTTTGAATTTTATTATAAATTTTGGAGAATTTGAAATTTTTTAAAATATTGGCATAATTTTAAAAATTTAAATATTGACAAAATGTTGATAATTTTTAAAATTCTGAATATTGTGTAAATTTTGCGAATTTTGAATTTTATTTTAAATTTTGGAGAATTTATTTTAAAAATTTTAAATACTGCCAAAACTTTAAAAATATTGAAAATTTTTAAATTTTAAATACTGCCAAAATTTCTAAATTTTGAAAACATAAGTTTTTTGAAAATTTTGGATAATTTAAAAATTTTGAAAAAGTTTTTGGAAATTTAAAAAATCGCAAAATTTTGAAAATTGTGGAACTTATAAATTTTAAATATTCTGAATAATTTCGAATATTTAGTGAACTTTAAAATTTTATAAATTTTTGAAATTGTAAAATGTTTAATAATTTAGACATTTGAAAAATTTGCAAAATTAAAAAAAAATAGACATTTTGGGAATTTTTGAAATTTTTGACAATTTTTACACACCTCATCGTTTAAAAAATATTAAAATTTAAAAAAATTCGAATTTTTTGTAAATTTTGCGAATTTTGAATTTTATTATAAATTTTGGAGAATTTGAAAATTTAAATATTGGTAAAATTTTGAAATTTTAAAAATTGTACGTTTTTTAAAACTATTGGGTAATTTAAAAATTTTAAGTTTTTTAAATTTAAATTTACATAATTTGCGAAATTCTGAAAATTTTGTAAATTTTATAATCTTGGCGAATTTTTAATTTTATTATACATTTTGGAGAATTTGAAATTTTTTTAAATATTGGGGTAATCTTGAAAATAATAAAACTTTAAATATTGCCAAAATTTTTAAGTTTTTTGTAAATTTTGGATAAATTAAAAATGTTAAAAGTGGCAAAATTTTGAATTTTGGAAATTTTTGACAATTTTTACACACCTCATCGTTTGAAAAGTATGAAAATTTAAAAAATGTCGAATATTTTGTAAATTTTGCGAATTTTGAATTTTATTATAAATTTTGGAGAATTTGAAAATTTAAATATTGGTAAAATTTTGAAATATTAAAAATTTTAAGTTTTTTAAAACTATTGGGTAAGTAATTTAAAAATTTGGAAATCTTATGAAATTTTAAAAAGTTTTTTAAATTTAAAAAATGTTTAAAACAAAATTTGCGAAATTCTGAAAATTCTGTAAATTTTATAAACTTAGCGAATTTTTTATTTTATTATAAATTTTGGAGAATTTGAATTTTTTTAAATTTTTTTAAATATTGGGGTAATGTTGAAAATTATAAAACTTATTTTTAAGTTTTTTTTTAATTTTGGATAATTTAAAAATGTTAAAAGTGGCAAAATTTTGAAAATTTAAAAAACTGAATAATTTTAAAATTTTATAAATGTTTGGATTTTTTAATTTTTAAAAATTTGCGATATTAAAAAAACATTAATAATGGGTTATGTCCTTTAATCTACATATAAAAACAGGTTCTTTAGATATATGCGGAAACAAAAGTTTTTAGCCTTTATTTTTAGATTTAATTTCTGGAGGTATATCCCAAAGTGGAACCCCCTTATGTATTTGGGCCCATGCCCCGGAGGGAGAAGGCATTAAAAATGGTAAAAAATTGGCAAAATCCTTAGGGTGCCCCACCAACAACAATGAAAGAATGGTCGATTGCCTTAGAAAAATTGATGCCAATAAACTCGTTGAACAAGATTCTGTATTCTTCGTAAGAACACTGGAATTTCTATAAATACATTGATTTAACAAAACATTATTTTAGGAATGGGATTTGGACCCGATGATCCCTTTCAAACCGACTGTGGAACACAAGCACGATGGTGCATTTTTGTCGGAACACCCTATAGAAACGATGAAGAAAGGTCAGCAAGCGAAAGTGCCTATAATTGTGGGTCTTAACACTGAAGATGGCGCTTTAAGAGGAGCGGGCATTTTTGGAAATCCGCATCTTCTGGACGAAATAAACCAAGATTTCGACAGGGTCATTCCGATATCTCTTATGTACGATAAAACTGCCAAAGATATTAAAGGGATCACTCAGAGGATAAAACATTTCTACTTCAACGACATGCCTGTTTCAAACTCCAGCAAAAAGGAGATTGTCAACGTAAGATTTGTCAGATTGCAATATTTCGTTTCTATTTTTTTTAATTGCAGATGTACACAGACGGTTGGTTTTTGAACTGTGCCGACGAGGCTGTCAGATTACATAAAAAATACTCGACTACGCCAGTTTATTATTATCTTTTTGGGCATAGAGGAACTTCCAGTCTAACCAAACTCTTCGGTGATCCTATTAACGATTATGGTAAGTATTCATTATGTATTATTCTTTTGGGTTGAAAGTTTCAGGTTAAGAACTGACCTTTTACATAGTCACCATGCTTTTGTTTCAAGTGCAAACGGACATCGAGAGTCTTTTTGATCTCATCGGTGCCGGTTAGCCATCCACACCACATGGCTACCCGGCACTGATGGGATAAAAGACCAGTTCTCAGAATTCTCAGAGTCTAAGACAGTTAAGATTTTAGTAGTTATAAAATTTTAATCAAGTATTTAAAAATGTTAAGGAGTATGCCACGCTGACGAATTGCAATATCTTTTCCCACTGGCCGACGGGTTATTCCCCGAAAACCCACCTTCCGATGATGACAAAAAAGTGGCCAAAATTATGACAAATCTGTGGGCCAATTTCGCCAAAACTGGGTAAATACAGGGGGTTTCAAAATAGGCGCCCCAAAGGGCAAGGGTAATTTTTTCCCATTTATTAGAATTCGAGAAATTGAAGGAGTAATTCAACTTTTAAAGCCGCCAATGAGGTTTCAAGAGAAATTTGCCTTTGTCCCTTTTGGTCACCGATTTTGGGATACAATTACCCTTACAACTTGTTATTATTTAAAATTAATTTTCTAGAAACCCCACCCCAGCAACCAATGACGTTATACCAGAAGTCTGGCAACCTGTTAAAACCGATAACATGGAGTACTACTATATCGACGCTGAATGGACGGGAATGAAAGAAGGACTCCTGATAGAACGCGCCAAATTCTGGAGAACCTTAAAAAGCAACCCAAGAAAACAACTAAATAAAGATGAATTATAAATATTTACAAACTACAAAATAAGTACAAAAAAACAATAAAGTATTAATTTATTTTATGTTTTTTTATTTAACTTTTGCGCCTCCTTTTCGGCCAACTCCTTCTTCTTAATTTTCATGGCGCGTTTTTCAGCGCGAGTCAATTTTTTTTGGGCCTCGAGTTCTTCTTCGGTAGGTGGTGGCGGCGGATCTGGCTCTGGCGGGGGCGGCACCAGGCCCGCCATCAAAGCGCCACTGTAATTTCCAGGGCCGGGTGCGCAGAAAATGAGCCGCTTCTGCTTGTCAGTCCAACTGGTGTAGAAAATTTCTTTAAGGATCTAGACAAGGATGAAAGATTGTTTTATTCTAATATCTCCGAAACCTTACCCTCATGTTAAATCTAGTGGCCAATTTTTGGGTTTCGTAATCGCTAAAAAGGCCTACAACAACCTTCAGGTCCAAGGATCTAGCCACCATAAAACCTGCTTGAAAAAATCTGTAGGCTAAAGCTGAAAAGAATAATTAAATAATTATTTTAATTCTTCAAGAATCTTTCGTACGTGAGTCCTTATAATCAGGAACTATGCATAGTAGATAGTATCTAAGATACTTATCGCAATTAAATTCCTCATAAATATCGACATTTCTATTGATGGCATTCGTAAATTTTATAATTTTTTCGTGTGCTTCACCGTGCGTTATTTGAACTCTACTAAAAGTTCTATCCAAACTTGAAGCACGAACTTCTTTTATAATCATGATGCCAGCCACAGCATTATCCTTAGCTACGAAATAGTTTTAATTTTAATACTTAATGAAGTAAGTCTTACACTCATCAAAAGCAATAATGGATTTTTTATCTTTGAGATTAAATAACATCCTTTCCAAATATGATTCCATTGAAACAGGATCTTCCTTAACCTCTGCATTCCTAGCCAATACTTCCTCAGGAATATAATACTCCTTAAACACCTTGTTAACAACACAATCAATGAAAATTTTGTCGCTTTTATACTTTTATGATTTCCAACGCAATATCGTAATGAACCGGCATCAAATCTTGTATCCGTATACCGTTAGAGAAGGTGCTCCAAACTACAGCGGAAAAAATTCTGTCATACTTCGCTTTTTGTCTTTCTTCTTCCTTCTTCAGTTCCTCCTGGGCTTCTATCTCACGCTGGGCTTCCACACGCGCCCTCCGACTCATTTTTGGGCTTTGATGTCAAGAAGAAAGTCAAAATTTGGTTTTATTTGGACTTTGACAACTACCAAACAGGGTGTCTTTTTAAAAACAAGCAATGCTCTATTTTAAAAAGTCTAACCTAAAAAAGATCGAACCTTTCTTAAAACAGATATGTGGGGGAATCAGTATGACCACAAAAATGACCTTCACTCAATTTTTTTAAATGGCAAGACCTGTATACAAACGGGATATGTTTGCAATCTAAAAGAAACCAACCTAGAATACTTAATAATAATATTATCCAGAATAGTGGATTTGTAGAAGAGGACCAATAGAATGGCCTCCCAGATCTTCAGATCTAACACCATTAGACTTTTTCTTACTGGGTCACTTAAAACCTGTACAAACATTTCAAAATGTTCAAAGGAAATTTGATTGCTTACAAAGTAATGAGAGTCATTACGAGCATTTAATTTAAAAAGCTAAGCTATTAGTTTATTATACCTTTGTTAGTCTATTGAAATAGTATTCAAAAATGCCATCCAATAAACTCTATTATTTTTATTTCAAAATAAAAAACATTTTAGGTAAAATATTTTATTAAGTTACTTCTTTTTTCCTTTTTTACCCTTTTTACCTTTTTTTCCTTTGCCTTTTTTGTTCTTTTTACCTTTCTTTTTCTTGCCTTTTTTTTCTTCAGGTTTTGTTAAAGGTTCTGGAATTGGATCAGGTGGAACTCTACCTGCCATAAAGGCATAAGTGCTGTTTAATTTTCCTTGGTATGTTATCAATTTTTCCTCAAGATCTGCATATGTTAACTCTCTTATGACCTGGCAAAAATTTATAATATACAGGGTGCATTAAAAAAACGTGTAGAAATCAAATATTTTAATTAACTTTTTATTCAAAACTTTACCGTCATATTAAGTTTGGACGCCATACTCTGCTGTGAGTAATCATTAAAAAATCCCATTATTATTGGAATTTTATAGGTTCTAGCTACATCTAAACCAACTTGGTACAAAGCCAAACTTAAACCTTAAATTTACAAAGTTATCAAAATTATTAAGGGAAACGCCATTTTGGACACGAATTTAATTAAATGAGTGTATAGAAATACTTTTTCTATGAAAAATACTTATTATTATCCAAAAATGATTTGAACTCAATATTTGTTTAGAGCGACATCTATTAAACAATAGAGTAACCAACTTGGGAATCCCTTGAAAATGGACTAACAACAGGTTTTCAAATATTGGCGTTGAAAAACTATTTAATAGTTTTGTATTGAGATAATAAAATAATTTTCACATTTAGTATTATTTTACAAGAAAGGCACTTTATTTTAACTATTGTATGACATTTAACAACTGTCAACTAACTTAAAGCTTACTTCAGCGAATAAAAACCTGTTGCTAACTTCAGCCCGTGACTAAAACGCCATAAAGCCACAACTTGTCAATGTGTATTTAAAAGGTCATAAAAACATGTACGATAAAAGGCGTTTTAAAGGTGGGAGTAGAAAAACATGTTTTACCATATTCTCTGTATTCTGGCATTATGCACATTAGATAATATCTTAGAACAGAATCGCAATCGAACATTTCAAAAACATCAAGGCACCTCTGGGCATTATTCATTAACTGGGTAATGTATTTATATTTTCTACCCTGCACCAAATTTGTATTGCTTATGGAAGAGGCATAATCTTCGACATTGATACTTCTTAGTACGAGAAAGCCTGCTATGCAATTTTGATTTCCTTAAAATAGTTAATTTTAAAATTTAATCCCGGCGCATCCGCCATTTTTGTAACTACTCCACGGATAGAATTTGAAATAATAGAACTTTTCTATATATTTAAAAAAAACACCTTGTATTTTTGTAACATACTTTCATCCAAGGCAATTATGGACTTATGATCCCACAAGTTTGTGTACAACTGTGTCAAAAAGGACTCCACAGATTTTTTTTCGTTCGCCAAACCAACTTCTCTGCACAAAAAATCTTGATTTAAAAAATAATCCTAAAATTAACCTTTATAAAATGTTATTTTATATTTTAATGTTTACCTGTGTAAGAAAAAGTATTTTTTCGAAATATTCGTCTTTTAGTTCTTGAATTTTGATTCCATAACCAAGGCGTCGCCAAATTATGGGGGCTTGCATATTAACGTTTAATTTTTTTAATGTTATTGGGAGTTCGTTGTGCTTAACCAATAATTTTTCTGTCAACAATTGTTAATTTAACATAAAGGTTGTTTTTTATTTGGACAGCAATACCAATTACTAATATTAAAAAACGTGTTAAAAAATAAACTTTTTAGAAATTATGTTTTTTTTTTAAATAATACAAATGAATAAAATTTAAAATACATTTAGGGTGAGCAAATATTGTTTTAATTAAATCCAAATGGTATTTAATTCGGTTTCGAATCTGTTAAAATAAATATGTTAAAAATGTCAAATAATAGATGTTAAAATGACCAAAATAGTGAAATTATTCGAATTTCAAATCGAATATTTAAACTATTCGTCACTATGTCAAATATAACTATAACTAAAGATGACAGATGACAAAAATGACAGTTTTAATAAATGACAGAAACCAAATGACAAAAATGACGAGTTAAAAATTTCAAATATTACTTGTAAACATGTTAGAGAACTGATATCAAAATGACAGATAACAGATGTCCAAAATACTGATGATAGATATAAAAATTGACAGATAAAAGACTTCCAAAATGACCAGTGATAGATGCCGGATATAAAAGATGTAAAAATGATGAAATACAAATGTCAAAAATAACAGATGTCTAAAATATTTAAAAATGACAGATGACAGACTTGAGGTTAAAGTTATTCGGATTTCGAATCAAATATTTGATCTATTCCTCACTATCTGTAAAATATTACTAGATCAGTTTTAAAAATACTACAGATGAAAGATATCAAATGTGACAGATGACAGTTGTAAAAAATTACAAAAAACAAATGACAAAAATTACAATTGACAGATACCCGGATAACAGTTGTAAAAAAGGTCAGATACTGGATGTCAAAATGATAGTATACAAATGTCAAAAATAAAAGATAACATATAATAAAAATGACAGATGACAGACTTCCAAAAAACGGATTTTTAATCGAATACTCGATCTATTCGTCACTATCACTAAAATATTACGAAATTTCAGTTTTAAAAAACTACAGATGACAGCCATCAAAAATTACAGATGACAGTTAATATACGTCAAAATGATAAAATACAAATGATAAAAATGACTGAAAACCGATTTGAATTTCGATTAGCATCAAATATTCTATTATTAAAATAGCCAAGAACTTTTTTTAATATAATTGTAATAATTTGTGTATTTTCACAAAATAAAGGATTTATTGCCAAACTTACAAAATCAAAATGTAAAAATGACAGATAACAGATGACAGATGAAAGTTGTACCAAATGACAAAAATGACGAATGACAGATAACAGATTTAAAAAAGGCCAAATAAATGATAAAGAACAAATTTCAAAAATGCCAGTTGTTAAAAATGTCAAATACGAGAAGTAAAATGTCAAATAACAGGTAAAAATAAGAGATCACAAACTTAAAAATAGTTGATTTATTCTATACATCACTATCTATTAAATTTAACAAGTTATAAATATATAAATAACAAACTATAGTATACTTATGACAGATATAAAAAATGACAGATGACAGTTGTAAAAAATGACAGAAACAGGATAACAGATGTAAAAATAGTCAGATAATAGATATCAAAATGATAGAATGCAAATGTCAAGAATGATTTTAAAAATGTCAAATATCAAATGTAAAAATGTCAGATAACAGATTTTGTGGCACACTTAAGGTGAATTAATTGCCCAAAATCTAAGATATTTAAGTAATCAATTGTTGAAATTTGTGTAAAAAGGCTCAAATCTTGTGGGCCTTTTTTTTGGTTGGATTTGCCTCCTTGGTGAACATTTTTGGGAATTGGTTGGTTTTGTGAGGACAAGTTTACTGTTGTATTGACACCAGTCCTAGATACAACTTGGATTCCATTGAAAGGCTACAATTAATCTACAAATAATGTAAAATAAGTTGATTGGATAGCCAGGACTTATCGACAATACCTGATTGTGGAGTGGAATATAGTAACCAGCCAGTTGTGGACTAATATCCCAGCGTTTCCGTGCCTTGTGAATGCCGGATTTGTAAGGTTTCAGCTAGAAACTACCTTCAAGTAAGCCATTAACTTAAATCTGTAAAAAATATAGTTTGTAACCTATTATTAAAAGTAATGAGTACTTACCTAGTGGAAAAGACATTCGATTAAGTTTTTAAAATAGTTAGGGCCTTAATTTAGTTGGAATTTTGTAAAACAAACGTTTATTTATGTTGTTTTGGTTCTGTCAACTCTCACTGCGAAATTCCCAGCCATGCGCTGTTGCTTCTAACGCAGGCGCTGTAGGCATCGCGCGGTATGCATCGCACAGTGCGACAAATGTTTTAATTTTTTTGTTAAGTTTATTAATTAAATTGTATTTAAATTGCAAACTAGTGTTATTGTGAAATTTTTATCCCGACTTCCTGTTGAGTTTGTCGCAACTGGCGCCCTTGACTCAAGATTTTCGTTCATACTTACCTGAATCCCGACCTAGCGTCGACAAATAAGAGTTGCCGAGGTAAGTGCGCTATATCTTTATTTTTTTTAATAAAGTTAGTGTCACAAAATTGGATGGAAATGACAGATAAAAGATGTCTATATTATGGATATTAGATGTAAAAAAATACGTATGATAGATAACATAATATTTGATCTTTTTTTTATTAAAAGATTTTAATATGGTATAAGTGAGTAAGTGAGATAGCGTCTTTAACTGTTGTTTTAAAGAAATTTCATATTTAATCACTCAATATAAATATATAAATAATATAAATAACTTCCATCTTTCAAATGTCTTTTTTCTCATTTCAGCTGAAAAAAGTCATCGTCACCGGTGTGTCGCCG